AAAGACCATCCAGTCCCACCCACTGCCATGGGCAGGGACACCTCCCACCAGACCAGGCTGCACCAAGCCCCATCCAACCTGCCCTTCAGCACTTCCAGGGATGGGGCAGCCACAGCTTCCCTGGGCAATCTGGGCAGGGTCTCACAACTCTCATAGTAAAGAATTTCTACCTAATGTCTAACTTAATTCTTCCCTCCTCTAGTTTAAAGCCATTCCCCCTTGTCCCGTTGCTCCACGTCCTCATGCAGCCTCACCATGACCTTGCGCAGTTTGTAGTTGCGGGCACGGATGTCCTGCATCAGCATCTCGAAGGGGGTGAGCTGGTACTCGGTGGGCAGGGGGTCAAACTGCTTCTCCTGCACCTTCTTCAGCTTCACACCGTGCCGCAGCTCCCGCATCAGCTGCACCCACAGCCGGGCCTGGGGGGGTCACAGACAGGGTGTCAGCCCCCCTCCCAGCCCCGGTGCAGCCCCCGCTCCCAGCCGTGCCACCATACCCAGTCAGTGTTGCGCAGGTTGCCCAGCTCTGCTGCTGGCCGTTCCTCTGCCTCGTCCTCCTTCAGCTTCTGCAGCATCTGCAGAGGCACAAGATGCTGTCACCAAGCCCTGGCACCAGAGGCATCGAGGGTCCAGTCAGGGCCTCACCATGGGGCCACGTTCACCCCCAAAGCATCCCCATCCCTGCTCCAAGACATCCCCACCAGCACCAGCCATTCCATCAGATGGCATCCCCTCACCCCAGCACTGGCAGCACCAAGGGTCCCACCAGGACCATGTTGTGGGGTCACATCCACACCCAAAGTGCCCCATCCCTGCTCCAAGCCATCCCCACTGGCACAACCTGGTGGTGCCACGGCTTGCAGAGGCCATATGGCCGAATGGCAGCGCTGGCAGCTCTGGTCAGGGCAGCTGGAGGGGAGCACCATTCTCACCCCAGCGCTTCGGGCTCACCAGGGGTTCCCCCGGCACACACACCCACCTCCTTGGCATCCCGGATCTTGGCGAGGAAGGCTTTGAGCTCCACAGTCTCGGCAAAGAGCGCCCGGCAGACGGCCTGGTAATGGGCCTGGGCCTCGGCCGGGTCGGCCAGGCGGGCGGCACAGCAGCGCATGGCCTGCCCGAAGGTGCGGACGGCGCGCAGCGGCCCCTCGCCCCCCTCCTCCTCCTCCTCCTGCCCCCCGTAGCCCTCGTCGGCCGTGCCGCAGCCGCTGTCCTCCGAGTCGCTGTTGGTCATCAGGTCGATGAGCTGCTCCAGGCGTGGGCTCAGCTCCCGCTCCTCGTTCTCATCCAGCCCCCAGTCCAGCGCCCGGTAGATGGCAAAGCCCAGTGACTGCACCATCTTGTCACAGAATCAGAGAATGGTTTGGGTGTGAAGGGAGATTAAAGGTCATCCAGTCCCAACCCCCTGCATGGGCAGGGACACCTCCCACCAGACCAGGCTGCTCCAAGCCCCATCCAACCTGCCCTTCAACACTGCCAGGGATGGGGCAGCCACAGCTTCCCTGGGCACCCTGGGCCAGGGTCTCACCACCCTCATAGTGAATAATTTATTTGTAATATCCCACCTCAGTATCTCCTCTTCCAGCTTGAAACTATTCTCCCCTTGTCCTGTCACTCCCTGCCCTTGTAAAAAGTCCCTTCCCAGCTTTCCTGCAGCCCCATGAGGTACTGGAAGGTACCTTAAGGTCTCCCTTGTTTTTTCACATAAGAAGGGATACACACACGATGTGTGTTTAAGCATCCGGCACTTTGTTCTAACCTATGTTACTAGTTTATCACCTAGTTTATCTGCAGGGAGACAGCACTGGCTGTGCTGCAGGAAGCCCCTCAGCATACACTGCTGCCACCCACTGCACCCCTGCAGCCCCCCAGCCCTTGGGGATGGGTCTGGCTCCCTTCTGTGCCCCAGGACCCCACAACCATCACCACAGGGTGAGGGGGGCAGGTGCTGGTGCCCACCCAGGGACCCTGTGCCATACCTGGGCTTCAGCGGAGGGTGTCAGCAGTGGGGGCAGCTCTGTGGGGAGGAGGGCAGAGTCAACGCTGGCACCTGCAGCAGGTGTCTCCCCTCGGTGTCAACTCCCATCCCACACCCACACAGCCCCGATAGGAACACCCTGAGCCGATCCTGTCCCCAGCAGCTCCCCCTCCCCTAGTCAGGACTGCTGTCCCCAGCCAGTCCTATCCCGAGCTGGTCCAGGGGACAAGGGGGACCAGACCTACACATTGTGCCTCAACACTGGGCAGTGCCACCCCTGAGATGGTGGCATAACCGTCCTTGCTCTCCCTGCCAACACTAGCCTTGGGCAATAAGGCCAAACAGGCACTAGCCACTCGCCCAGAGCCAGAAGGCACATTGGGGAGGGGTCGGGGGGGGGG